TCCTCCTTCCATCTGCTCCTTTTCTCACTGGCACTTGCCACCACATGCAACAAGTATTTGTTTTCCTAAAGTAGCTTGCAAGTTTCAAAAGGCCAGGAAAAGGGATTCTGACATGTTAATATGAAACAGACTTTGTACATAAAATTTCCCAGAGTTAGAAAAAATCACTACTTATTGTTAATGCTTTAGTGGTAGGCAGTGTAACAACATACATTTGAACTGGTGTGATCTCAACTCCCCTGAAAGTATGTTGCAGACTGTTACAATACTAAGAATGTACAAATTATTCCTATGTGCAAAGAAACATTAAGTCATGTCATTGGGTAGTTGTAGTAAAATTCACTTAAAATTGTTCACTTGCTTTTCTTCAGTTGTTTCACTTTTTCAAAAGGTAATGTGAAAGGAATGCTTAGAATAAATTTGAATGGTCATAAAGTTATAATATACATTTAAATGGATAATTTTCTTGTGCCACTCTTGCCAGCAGTTTTGATACTGCTTTTCTGAAGTGTAATTTACACACTGTGTTGAAATGAACATTGGAGATCTAGGAGACAGACTGTTTCAGGAGATGCTTCAATTAACACAAAATACTGAAGCTAAGGGTTAAAAAATGAGGCATAGCTTTGTAAGTTTCTGCAGTCAGTGGTGTAACAAGAGCTGAAGTCTACCCAAAACAGTGTAGTTTAAACACTTTCTCAATAATTCCTGAATAATCACATGTAAATTGCTGGACTTTGGTTGACTACAGTATGAAAACATCTTACACTTTGTACTTGTTTTGCTACAATGTTGACTTACAGAAGATTTAGTCTAAATATCAAAAAGCTGACAAATTAGTTTCCCTGAAATGTAGTAGTATCAGCGATATGCAATTATAATGGTCTACAACCTGAAAACCGTATCTGGTAAATATTACCAAATTACAAGTTTTAACTTTTCAAAGGACAAACAAGAGGCCTTATTTGGACACACATTCACACACATCCACACAATCTACCTTAGAAGGTTTTGTTTATTTCACCTTTCTTTTTTTGCAGAATAGCACTTTTCCCTCTTCCCCCAAGCCTGAACCTGGAATTGATTGTTCAGAAATTTATCAACTGTAGTTAAACTAAAATGTGAGGTAATAATACTATACAAATAATACTCAATTAAAAGACAGATGTAAAACAAGAGTGCATTAATTTTAAGCAAAAAAGCCCTCAAACAAAACCAAACAAGAAAACACAAGACCTATCTAGACCCAAAATGGAGGAATAAAGAGCTCATTTCCTTTCATTAAAAATCAGAGTGAAACATCTATAGTTAAACAACTTTATTAACATAGTCAAGCAGTGATTAACATTCACATCTATTATGTCACATCATACAAATGTAAATACAAAATTACTACAGTACAATATATATTCTCTGCATGATCCAAAATATTTGGTGGCCCCAAAAAACTCTCTTTAAAATTCAGCAGCTTATCAAAAATTAAAACCGTATTCTATTTAAAATGAAGATCTGTTAGCACAGAGTTAGACTTCAAGAAATATCAATTTAGTACAGTTTGAGAAGTTGCAGGAGGATATGTTTGAAGGACACATTCTAACATAGTGTGGCAGGTACAGGAACATCAGATTTAAAGCTTTTAAGCATAACTCATACAACCTAAGTTGTTAGCAGAAAGATCCAGTTATTTATAACTAAAGCTAAAATACTAAATTATTGCACCCAATGTTAACATATTAAATGTAAAACTGTTTTATATGAAGTCATTAACCATGTTTAAACATCTCACAGATGGCAATCTGTTATGTAAAATTATACAGTATTGTCTAATTACTATCTTCATAAATATCATCCCATCTTAATTTGGTTATATATCCACAGAGGAAAACAACATTGAAGTAATATGGGAAAACTACAGAACCCCTTTATGAGGCTGGTATTAGGAGGGGACCAACACTGCCTTACAGGCTAACCATGTTACAGGTCTTTAGGAAGATAATTACATCTGCAAATAACTAATTCTACATAATACCAAGCCAGAGAATAAGGGAATTCTATAGTAGCTGAACAAAAATTATAATAAAAGGGAAACTACTGTTTTCCTAATTAGTGAAAGAATGCTTGGCAAACAGATTTGATTTGGTTTTAAAATGTACAAAGGTGAAGGAAAAATAATCACCATTTTAACTTTCCTCAAAATTAGGCATACATTAAAAAAACAATACATTCTGGGATACAAACCACAAACAGTAGTTATAATTTAAAGGTATACCTTAAAATTAATACGCATAATAGTTAGGCATATAGACAAAGAATCCCCTACGTTAAAGCAATACCAATGGAGGAAAGTTCTGCGTAAGACTGAAAAAATTAGTCACAAGTCACCTGCAAAGTGTACAAGTGAATGAAACCTGTATGTAAATTTAATTTTTAAGAAGCATTAGAAAAATCTCCATACTTAATACAGTATGAAATATATTAAGTTGGTATACAATGCTCTTGCATGGTCTTGCTAGATATTACTGTTACACAGTTCTTTACTGATCTGATTTTTCATTTAGATTATCCTACGCCCTTAGCAATCTGGAGACCAGTTTTCTTAAAGATTAGAATGGTGACACTTCAGTGACCCTACTAGTAGAAGTAATTAGTGTCTTCCCCTTTGTATTATTTGCAAAAAAAAAAAAGAAGAAAAAATTCCATTAAGCAAAGTTGTTTCTAAAATGTACTACTGAATTAATAAGGACTTAAATTGCAGTTATGCTTGACACACTCTTCTCTTGGGAAGAATGTTTTTGCACCGTTATCTGTTAATACATTCAATATGAATAATAAAGATAAATGTGAAACAAAAACCACTTTTTTATGGCAGAGGATTTATTAAATTTAGACCAAAGGGTTAAAGACATAATTAAATTCTGGCATTTCAGCTATGCAGGGTAACTTAATATTGGAGACAAAAATTTCCACCTTCCTATCATGAGAATTTGGAGTAGGACCAAGTTGAACATTCAAGGTAAGTTGGCATGCAAAACATTCACCAGGACGGATTTACACTGCCCTAGTCTGTTAAAATGAGGACTGGAAAATCAGATTGAATGGGAAGCCTCTATAATATACACACACAAAAAACAAAAAAAACAAAACCAGAATGCAGTTTAAGCATGTTAGCAAAGCAAAATGGATACAAGAGTATTCACCTGAGATAAAACTTGTATCTGAATTATTTTATAACTGAGTAGACAAAGCATTTCAATAGTCAGTTGAAATCATTTTAAAATATACATCTGATCCTATTTTACAATATATGCAATTTAAGCAATTCTGACCAATGAAAAAATTTTAACAAAAAAAATCACAGTGTTTATCAATATGTTAATTACAAAATGCTACTTATTTTGTTTTTAAGATGTAATGGCTTGGTTAAGTGTTTTAAAATCTATTCTGAAATCTACCTTATGTCACAAAATCAAGTAGCAATTAGGTAAAGCATCAGAACTGGCTCTTAAAGGTTATTTACATGTTGATTATTTAGGAAATAACCAACCAAAATATAAAAAAGTGATTTTTTTTACATAGTATGAAGTTATTAAAGAGATTAGACAATACAAAAAGCAATATTCTTTCCTGAATAAATGAATAATCTGTGGCACTAAGATTACTTACTAATGAACTATAACATGGAACTGCCAAACATGCATTTATTTAATTTATATTAAATACACTTTCTGTTTCCAACTTAGGTTGATCAGCAGCTTTTGTTCTGTTAGAATCCTTCAAAGAGAGAAGCTCGAACAGGAAAAAGAAGGCATATATAAAACAGTAAACACTGACCTCCTGAGGTTCCTACAACATAAAAATATTCAAGTAGAAAATCTACATCACTTAGCAGCGGCTATTGCTGTAGTTGATCACACTAACAGCACTTTAGTGTGTAAGGAGCAGATGAAGTAAGCCGTGCTTTAAGCATGCCAAGAGGCAGAAAACACTGGAATGTAACAAAGACAAACTCACAATTTCATAGACATTCAGTCAACATTCAGAACTATTAAGACTACACCACAAGAATTAAGTTGCTTTATATATATATATCCCATGATGTATTGAGTTTTATCAGAACAATGCTAAATCAGAGCTTACCTCAAAAGATAACTTAAATGGCTTCTGCAAATTCCTATGCTAAACTACGTATCTGCAATATAAAATTGAAAAAAAAAAAAAAAACAAAAACAAGTAATCTCAAGGTGGGGCAAAAACCACAAAGAAAAAACTCCAACCCAAACCTAGGTCAGTCTTAGGCCAGTCATATTAATTTTAATTTTGACTACAAAATTATGGTAACATACTTATGCTACCTTTCTGCCTAATCAAAATCCAATTTTGTTTTCCAGTCAATACAGAGATGTTAATTACAGACCTGATAACTACTGAAGGTTGCATTTATATTTGTCTTAAAGTGTTTAAGGTCGAATTTTGCTACTTCTTTCCACTTATGGTTCCACTATCTATTTCAAAATATTAAGATATCTCCCATATTATTTTCTAAAAAGTATTTAAAAAATTAGTGATTCTCACCAGAATTTAAGGGTAAAATAGTTACACTAATCTGATTTTAAAAACTAAGCAAGGAAGCAAATTTTAAACTGAGTGAAATAATGACTAGAAAAAAAGCAAAATGCTGTATTATCCTTTGGATCCAATTTACAATTAAAAAACAACAACAACAACAACAACAACAACAAAAAACCTGGACATTAAAAAATGATTTAATTTCAGGCTCTACAGACTGAAATTTGCAAAGCCAAAGTAGAGGAAAGGTGAAAGAATATGTTAAAAACACACACACACACATACAATAACAAAAACCTTTCTGCATGCTACCATGCATTTGAAATTTTTGAAACAGTAAAAATACACACATACAGCTCAAGCTTCAGTGCAATGGCTGTATCATTCAACACCTTTAGAATAGAACCATGCAAAGAGGAGCAACTGCTTATAAAAATGGTTATTCAGTATTTATTCTGCAATGCAAAGGTGACAAACCAAAATATAAAAAGGTTGTTATGGCTTAACATTTTTGTTGCAGATTAAATATGCAGCATTGAAAAATGGAAAGGTGTGGCTTCATCTCTGACCAGCAGAGTTAAAAGAAAAATCTCTCCATTTTCCTTCATCATCATGGGATACACTGTTCAGGCAATCCAAATTAATAAAGACTTGCACTTTCATATGGACACAAGATCAAGTGTACCAGTTAGGTTTTCACATTCACAGTATATAAGAAAATACACATGGAAGGAAAAGTAAAGGGTTAACTGAACAAGGATTTATTCACAGGAATACATGTAAGTAGAGAAAAATAACAGAAAAGCTAAACAAATGAAATGAAGAGGATCCAAACCAACTTTCACTCTGTAGCTTTTTACTTGCACCCTGTGTGCATATATCTAGGGCACAGAGGGCCACCAACATGCGCCAATACAGTGTAGGAACCCTGCATTACATCCATTAACTTAAACATATCTTTAAGATCATGCTTTGAACAAAAAAAGCTTAGAAGGCAATATGTTGAGTGGGAATAAACATTGAAATATAGCAATCATGTCTTCAACTTCTACAATTGTCTTTATGTGCCAACTAACATTTATGCAGCCTCTTACAGATCTTTTACCATGTAGTTTAATTTTTTGAAGTTTTGATAAAATCACTAGTAGTATATAACCATGCAGAAAGCACATCACACTGACAGCACAGAGGCAAAGATTTTGCACAGGTATATCAGCTTTCCACATTGTGCAGGTTACACACAATACAATATCAATCTTATTCCTAACAGGTCCTAAAAAGATATTTCAAGGCCTAGCTGTAAACTACAGTACTTTATACCTATATTCTTAATAAAAATAAAATCCACAAGTCTTAAAAAGGAATTTAAAATGCAGGGCTATATTGAATTGGTAAACTGCAACACAAACTGGCGCAACAGAGGTAAATGAATACCAGTCTCACTCTATGTGATGCAAGCATGCTACTTCCCACTAATTTAAAGTACTTTCAATCACTATGAGCCAGAATGCATGCCCGAACCTTAAACTGCACTTTTTAAAAGTAACATCTTGGCCTAGAAATTAAATCTAATGAAGTACAACCATCAAATTATATCCACTACATTAATGTTTTAATGCAAAATTAAGATGTCAATCTTTAGTTTGATATGCCCAACCCCGTTTACTCTTCCCTCCCTGCCCATCCCACAAAGGTAAAAGGAGTGACTCATTTGGCATTTTCACAGGGTGCTTCATTGTTTAAATTTGTTATGTTTTTATTTCCAACATTTCTGGGGGTACCTGAAATTGTAACTTCCAAGAACCTGCTCTATGGGTAGGGCAAGCTGATTTTAACTCTACTAGCTTCCTTTATGTGGTTCTTCATCAGCATGCAAAAAATAGGCCCCATCATGTGGGAAAATTTATAAAAACCTTTAAATTAAAAAAAAAAAAAACTTTACTGTTTGTAACCCCCTTTCTTAGGTTTCCTTTATTGTGCACTATAGTATTTTTCCTCTTTCTTAACCCTATGCTTCATTTATATGGTTCTTGTTTTGGTACAATTCCCCATAATATTCCAGAATGTACTGTTTGTGAGTAGACTGAATAGGTTATTTTTTCTTTTTTTGCTTCTTCACATCCAGTGCAGAGTTGTAATTGGAGACAGATTTCCACCCACAAAGGCTCCAGATGTTAAAACGTTCCCCAACATCGACTTAATACAGTGACGGCAACACCTCCCTCCCGCCCCTCCCAGTAGGGTTGGGATTGTACTGTATTCCCTACTGGTTTACCCTTCCCCCCTGTAAAGGGTAACATTTTCCCTGGGTGCAGAGGCTCCCTCATAGTCTCCAAGACTGAAGGACCTATAAGAAAAAAACAAAAACACTTTAACCATTGTTTCTCTTTTACAGTCAGTGGTGCACAAAAATTATCAAATACTATTTCCAGCAAAAATAAAAATTTAGACAAACTGCTTAAGATCATTCCAGTTAATGATAATCATGTTTCCTCCTCCTCCTGTGGTCTTAAATGTCTCCAGCATCAGATATAAAAAGTGATGCCAAGCAGGGGACATGTGTAGAAGTGTGTAGCACTCTGGCACATGAAATGGATCTGATAGGATGCTAGCAGCCTGTTATTTCTTACATAAGAATATTCCTTACTTTCTTCAAAACTACTAATCTAATCCCTTTAAGACAACCCCTTTCCTACATGAGAATTAATTCCAATATTCAGCACACAAAAACCCTATCAAAATCCAAAGCAGCATTATTTTTGATTGTTTGATCTCTCAGCTTAGGGGACACTAAAGATGTTAATATAATACTAAGGTAACTCTACATTCAAAAATGTCAAAATACAAATTTTAACATCTGCATCTTTTCTTTTTTAATAGATTTTTTATTTTATGCATATGAGAACTGGGGTGCAGGACAGATACAGAGATACAGGGCATGAGAGGATTCACCAGAGACAGAGTGGGGAACAGAACAGGCTGATCAACTGAAATATACTGCTGAGGGGAGCAGCGGGTAAGTCAGGAGAGGTCTGCCATGCTATGTGGGTTAGTTTTTAATGGGAGATTGAAACTGGTATCTGACAGCAGTCCAATCCCAAAAACTATTAACCAATTCATGTCAAAATTAGGATATTTGGGATGTTCATGCGAATTCACAGAGAGTGCATATCTGTGGAGAAGTATGTGCAATTTCTTTTCTTTTTGAACACCAAAGGCAGGAGAAAGAAAGTACAGGAAGAGACCGTGACCCACTGTTACTTTAGAAAAATGAGAATTATTTCCTAACTAGTCTTAGTATAGTGAGCACCACAGTTGGTAATCAATCTAAAGATGCTGAAGACTTAGTCCACTATCTAATCTTCTGTCTTTCATGTAAAAGGTATCATTAAAAAAAAAAGAAAAAGATATCATTCTTATCTAAAGCATTCTCAAGATTTAACTAAAAGTAAATTGAGCACTTTTCCAAAATGCCAATATCAGAAATCAGCCACAGGGACTCAAGGCCACAGTAGGAAAACCTACACAAAAGAGCCCATAATGTGCCAGGTGTACAACATCCTAGTTAAGACAGGCAATTTGGATACTGCAATCTTTCCGTATTTAATACTGAGCTCATAATACAAGAGCAAGTAGAAAAACAAAACCTTCAAAATAAAGGGGAATTTTAACCTGGTGTTTATCTTTTGGTTACACACTACATAAATCCCCTAAACTTCTAGTCAAGAATGTCTCACTTCATCTTCAAAAACCTAAAGAAATGTTTACTGCACTTGCCCATATTCCTAACATTTACCCAGTCAACCTAGAATATTAGTACAGTAACAGTACCAACAATGGCATCTAACACAGTGTTCAATTCTTAAAATAACATAACGAAGGGGGCGATGCCTAAGTGAACAGAACTGTTGACTGACTTAACAGAAAAACTAAAAAACAAAGAAACCAAAAATCTAAGTGGACTTACTCCTTCCCATATCACCGAAAAACCAAACAATTTTCTAAGCCCATTTTATAACACAGTATTGGGTAAACAGGAGATAACATAAAAAATCTGTAGTAAGAATAAATAATAAACACTCTTATCCACTGAGCCCAATCCCAGTTCCAATTTCACTATGGTCTTTCCCTAAAGCTCCCAACATACAAAGTCCTTAATGAAAGACTAAAGGTAATTACCAGAGGGAAGGAAAAGGGGTGGGTAATGGAGACAATGTTAGGGTGAAGGACAGAAATGGACGTTTGGAGGTGAACTTAATGGAGTATACAGACATGCTGACTTTTAAAGATGCAAACCTGAAACATTTATGTTGCAATAAAATGTGACTTCAATAAAAAAAGACAACCAATTTTACCCTACCCACAATCAGTGTTGGTAACCTTTTTTCAGGGCAAATTAAAAAAAAAATTGAGGCAATGTATTGTAATCTAAGTTACAGACCAACTTAGGTTTGCTTTCTATGAAGAATTCAAAGTAGGACCATGCATTTTATCTTGCAGTACTGCTAATTCTCTGGAAAAAAAAAAACAAACTCCAAGTTTAAAGTCCAATATAGTACAAGATTGCTTTCAACCTCTGCAGAAAAAAATAGCTTTTATTCTATTCAGTGGTTTTAGAATGCAGTCCATTAAGTTTTTTCATCATAAAAAACCTAACTTCTTACGACTTACCCCTAGTAACAAATACCCCTAAATTATCCCTCATTACTTACCCCTATTTATTTTACATCACTAACTTACCCCTAATTGTGGGACTGCAGCTTCAGAGTGCAAGATTAAACACCATAAAAAGCTGCAAGACGCTCTTTTAATGGAAGCGGAAACTGGTCAGAGAAACGCCTCCAATTTTCATCCCCAACTTGATTTTTAAATCCATGGAGGATCTGCAGAATGAAAAACAAATCATTATTAATAACCAAATAGAAAAACTCACATGGCACAGCTTCTAAAATCAAACATTAGTTTTATTATTCCAAAATTTTGTTTTAAGTCAGATTTGCTTTGAATTTAGACTTCAGCAATTGTCCTAGTAACAAATGTATTTTTTTTTTAATTTTTAAAAATTTATTTATACATTACAGAACTGGGGTACAGGCCAGAGGTGCAGGGGTGGTGAGAGAATTCACCAGAGACAGAGTGGGGAGCAGAACAGGCAGATCGATGAAGTACACTGCTGAGGGGAGCAGCGGGAGGGCCAGGAGAGGTCTGCCACGCCATGTGGTCACCTCCGGGGCAGGCGGGGATCAATCTCATGAGGAAGTAGCTTTAGCTTCTTGGTGCTGTGCTTTAACCTGCTGCGCCACCAGGGAGGGCCATAACAAATGTATTTTAAGAAAAATTGATAATCTTCAAGATACTAAGGAATAAGTTTTCTATGCCATACAGTATTTTTGAAACTGAAAATAAAACTAAGCAGTTCAATGGCTGCAGCTATTCAATATTTCTAATAGTGATTCAAATGTGCAATACCATTTTATTTATTTTGTGGTGGTTGAGACTGGCTATAGTTACTCTAAAAGAAGCACTAATAAAACTAGATAGGTGTAATCCCAGAGGATACCACTTACTTTTGTTCAACAGTTTATATGATACACTGATCTTTAAAAATACTGCTACTTTGCATAGGTGGGATAATGGGGACCACTCAAATCAGTGGTATTGCTTGACAAAGTATTTTTGAAGTACATACTCTATTGATATACTCATTATTGTACATTACTGAGTGAGTACACCAATTTCTTCATGAGAACAAAGGTTAGAGTCCATCAGTACAATTTGAAGAGTGTGGGTTTCGATGGAACAAAAATAATTTGAACTCTCCAAATAGAATTTGAATATTCCCAAGAAATGCATCACAAAATTTTTTGTAGTTACCTTACAGAACATGTCTCTCAGATCATCTTTTGGGTTAATCCATGATGCGACAGCATCACAAAAAAATATAAAGTCCTGTAGAAAGAAACACATCTTAGGCTGACACTTGTCAAACAGCAAAGTATGTACGTAGAGTACAGAATATTTATCACAATGGAATTCTGGCTTTGAAAGAACAAATATTTTCATTATCAAAAAAAGTTGGCTAAGTTCAATAATCTTAGTTCTGACAGGTTAAGTTCAATTAAGTATGAGAATAACACTAAATTTCAAGACTCATCTTCAGATAGATATTCAAATGGACAAAAACTAGAAAAATAATTTGTAGTTATGTAGGGCTAATCCAGCCTACTCAAAAACAAAAAATATTCATTACTTGATTATTTAAAAGATAATCAATTTCATTAACTTTCCTATTTTGACTATTACTGTTGTATATTAAAAACAGTTCAATATACAACACTCAAAGTAATGATACTCTAATATGTCAATCATAAATTTTACCAGCAAGTTCAGAGAACCTAATTTCAAAATTTACTAATACCAAAATATGTGCATGAGACATATTTAGCAAATAAAATGTCATGAGCCTAGTTATGGTTTATTCATACTATGCTTCATTATGCTTTCCAAATATCAAAGTCTGATGTTAAAATATAAATACAGAACCTGTGATTGTAAATATCAAAACTGGAACTTAGAAAATTATTTGTACCATAGCCAAGTAAAATAAAAAAAGTGTAAATTTTAGTAACTCAAGTTGGTAGTAATTTTGTAACATACATTTACCATCTAAACATGCTAATTCACAAAGATAATACTAAGATCCTGATGGAAAATGTTCCCTGATATGACATAATATGTAAAATAAAAATAGTCCATATGTCCTATCAGATGCCTTTTATACAATGTAAGGTGACATAATTAAGTATTAAAAAAAATCTTTATGCCAGGAGTTTTTTTTGCAACTAGGAATCACCTCTAAATATGTACTGATTTATTTTTATAGTAAATCATCATCATTTTATGAATGTGTAATTAGTTAACATTTTCGCAACTCTCATCTATAAGTTTTACCCACCAACAATATTGAACTGACAAGCAACACAGCAATTAATACAAGACAGGAACTAGCAAAGGATCTCGACTAAAAACATCTTAAACATGATCTGTGAAACAAAAGATTATTTTCTCATAAACCCTTCTCATGCTTTCTTTCCTCAAAATATATCTGTTGAAGAATTTGGAGCACTTAACCTAGAGTACCATAGCTAGGTTATGTTACTACCATCTTGTTGATTTCATAAATATGACGACAATCAGTAGGTCTGTTTTCCATATGAAAGAAAATGGCAATTGGACTCACAAGTTTGAGCAGTCATATCTGATACTGATATCAATAATATTTAAATCCTAAAAATTATTTAAATATAAAAAACAGGGAAATGAAGATGAATGAATCATAACCTCTCAAAGTAAAGCAACTTCAATAGCTGATTTATTAGTTTATTATTTTTTATTACTCTTTAAAGTGTAGCCTTCTTAAGACTAAGCAAACTGATAGTCATTAATGGGAGGCATATACAAAATAAATGAGGTCTGAATGTGGGTGAAAAGATCTGATTTAAATCAAAAGAAATGACCTTATTCTCCCCATCTACTATTATTTTGATTTGATGACAAAAAATTTAAAAAATAAGTCATCATCATTTCAACACAATTTTTATTTTTTGAAACTATGCAATCTAGGCAACATTTTAATAATTAAAATGTCAAAATGTTTCCTCTTTTATGGCTTTGTTATTCAGAACATTAGAAGTTGTAAACATTCCTGTGAATACTTACTTGGATTACTCCACTGGGATTCACACTGATCATGGTACAAATCCCACGAAATGCTGAATCCTTTTCTTCATTGTCCCTTATGTTTCTCAAAGAGGTGCACCTATTTTAAATTATAGAATTGAGCTTAGCATTTAAGTAAAAAGCAGGTTTAATCATAATACTGATGGACAGTATTTAATGGAATAAGCACCAGTCTAGATAATGTTTATGTTTAAAGAATTTTCATAAAGCTAAACAGCTTCTCATACTTTCTGTATGTTTATAGCCCATTTAAATAATCTCAATATAGCAACAACCTTGAAACTGTATTTTCTTGTTAATAAATTGCAACTATGAAATTGACAAATTATTTTAATTTCATATTTAAACTATTAATGAGCTTGAGTCAGTAATCACATTAAATTTTAAAACTGTACTATGACCTGTATTCCATTAAACACTACTAAAAATGACTTGACTTGAAAGATTATCAATTAAAAGAAGCAGAACAAAGGGTATACTGCCACAATATAAGCTATTTTACAACTTATGGTGTAGATGTTTAATTTTTATATTAACAAGCAAGTAAGGTTTCTATACGTAACAAATTTAGACATGTATTTCTTAATGCAATCCAAGGTTTCAAATTAATTCTCAAAAAGAAAATGCAAAAACCTGAATTTATAAAATTTGCATGCATCTTTGTTTTACTGGATATTTCAATGCTTTTTATGTATAATCAAGCTTTTTAACACAGCAAGCATGTGACAATCTTATCCCATGCATCAAATTAGTCGTTAGCCACAACATAAAATAAATATACATGACGATGCTACTGAAAAACCTCACAAACCTGATAGGACAAGATTAGTCACATGGTTGGTAATGATTAAGGATTGTGATTTTTGTAACCAACTGAAAATATATCTAAAAGTGAGATAGAGAAAGAAAGAGTGAAGGAAAATGAATTAAAAAAAAAGATTGAATAATACACACCAGGGTCTTATAAACTGCTGTAGCATGGGGGCCACCTCTTGAGGACAAACGTAACCAAGACGACCAATTGTTATTGCTAAGGTAACGCAATCACGGTTATACACCACCAAACGCCAACCAAGACATGAGCAAATGAGGGGGAAGGAGAAAAAATAAAGAAAAAACAACAAATAACTCAGAAACAGAAACCAACAGAATTTGTGTATGATAATAAACATAAGATTTCACCAGTGCTGTTTATTACCACCCCCTAAAATAAGGGGCAGCAACATATATGGCATACTCTTGGAAAAAGGAAAACAAAAGGAATTAAAAAAACTTTAAATTTAAAGATTGAGAGAACACCAAAAACCAGGATGAACTGCTTTTCTTGCTCAAATGTAAAGTATCATTCTTGTATAAAAAGATGAGCAATTAAGTGGATAGATTCAGATTCTTTATTCAAACCGAGTTGAAATTTCAGAACTTAAGGAATTTTATGGGCCTGTCTATTTATCAGTAAATGTGAATGATCAAATTTCTGAACTGTTTACTAAAACATACTTCTCTCAGAAGTTGAATTAAAATTTCTTTCTTGCTTCTTCACATCTTAAGTGACTTCCATTCTTTGAAAAATACAGCTAGGAATTTAACCCAAATTTTGGTGAGGTTTTCTGTTAACATTCTCGAAACAAAGTATTGTCTGATGTCACAATCAACCCTCCCGTTTTAGGTGTTACGTTATGTTATGTACTGCATGAATGGATTGGAAAATTGCTGTACCGTAATCAAACCCTATTACAAAAACCTCTGATGGTGATGACAGTAACTCAGGTAATAATCTAGTTTCAAACCATATTTGACATATAAAAGAATTAAAAAATTCGTTTGGAGTGGAATTTAACCAAACATATTCACCATCAAAATCCAGGAAATCCTTAACTTACTAAGAAATGAAAACAAATGCAACTCAGAACTGCATTTTGCAATTCAAAGGTACATACATATAAGTACACTTATACACAAAGGGGGAAAAAAAAAAATGAACAGAAAACAAACCATGAGGTGCTTTAATGGTGTTCTCTCAAAACCTTACAGGTTAACCTTTCATAAAAAAAGGGTGGGGGGGGGTAAAGAAAAATGTTTAAGGATTACTTGAAGCAAACTACACAGATAATACTAAAATCCAGCAGATTCATATGAAGCAAGAGAAAGAAAACCTATGTTCAAAAGACACAAACTATGCAACATTCTCATTAAACAGGCAAGTATGAACAATCCAATGAAACATGCAATAAAGCAGATGATGGTCCATTGAAAAAGTTCAGTGTAGGATATACTAATTGGATAAAAGCAAGTAATTGCGTTCACTAAGGGATTGGCTTTATGGAATATTAAGAAAGGGTTAACTAAGTTTGCTAAAATCTGTAAGCATTAGTCACTGATAAGTATTTTAATACTACTAATAAAAAGATCCCCTTTCTCTTGTGTAAGGAATAAGGAAAACATTTTCTGCAGTCACTTGTGATAAATCCAATAAATTCCGAATGTTTCTTAGTGTACAAATTCAACTTGAAAGGCATTATGATTTGATTTAGACTTATACTTAAAATATAGTCTTAAAAAGCCAATTTTGTTAAAAGAACTCCAACAAATTCACCACTGATATCCCACAAGAAACTTTAATATACATTACACTCAACATTTATTTGCAGTTATGCATTCACATTTAAAAATAAATAGGAAGTTTCTTTAGGTTCCACAGTCATTTTCTACTGGCAAGTGTTCCAAATCTGAATTGTCATGTATAGGTACTGCATTCTACATAAAAACCTGACAAGATTTCACAACTATCCTACATAGATTTTTGTACTTCCCAGAAAAAAAAAAAAAAAAAATTAAAAAGTCACTTTATGATAACAACAGTACCCATACAGCCAAACAGCCATATAAACTGTTCTATAATTAAAAGATTTCCTTCCATACCAATAAACTTATCAATTTTGATTATATTAGAATATACTTTCTATAATAAAAAAAATAGAATGAAAATGCATTTGAAAATGAAAATACATTCTTATTTAGAAAATCTTATTTTAATATTTTTGTCCAGTATTTTGGTAAGCCCTCATAAAAATTAACATTACTAGAGTTACCTCAGTATAACAAAGGAATGAATGAATTTAATTGAAACAAAAATTTAGATCTATTATCATTATTACCAATTTAGAGGATAGAAAGAAATCAACCTTAAATGTGTTCTATAGTATGGAAGGTATTCTTTAATATAAACATGCTCTCTATAAATGCAAAAGAGAAACAAGCCCCCTGAATAAAATTCCCATATGGTACTGCTTAAGTTCTCAATTTGAAGGGAAAGTATACAATGAAATGCAAAAAACACATATGCCATTGTTAACCAAATTAGTCACTATATTGCAATCTACTTTTGATCACATTTCCATATGTTAAAAAATTTCTTCCCAGCTCCCAGTTAAGTCTCTGAATTAATAAAAAAGTAAAATTAATATTTTTCAATTGTTAGCTGGGATCCCTCTGAGGGAGTATTAAAACACCAGAGTAATTTTAAATTTTCTAAAAGCGACTTATGGAATCCAGCTAAAACAGCACATAATTCATTAATGAGAATCCAAAATAGACATTAATAAGAAACTGAGTTTCTAAAGATAGCTTTGCTTTGGTTTCTCTACGCATCTTAATAAAAATTAAAAAGGCAAATAATTTTCCCTTCACCATTAACAGTTCAGTCATATGGTACCTGTATTCTCTAACAACGTCTTTGGTGTGTTGGGTCTGTTAATGATTTCTACAAGCTGGTGCAACACCATAGGAATATAAGGCTGCATCTCTATACCTAGATCATTGCCAAGAGAAAAAAAATAATTGAATGTTAAAAAAAAAAGATGAAATATTTCCTTCCTTTTATTAACCATGTCATGTTACAAAATCATTTTTTAAAAGGGCAATCCATAAATATTAAAAAATTTTAATTTATATATTTTAAGGGGAAGAAAGTCTTACCCATCTGAATGGAGATCTCGCCAATTGCCCAAGTGGCATTGTTGCAGACCGAAATGAACTCTGGATTTAGGTTGGTTCCCAAAATTGGCATGAAATCAGCTAGGAAAAAATGTAAACATTAGCATATTTGTCAGTAGCAGTATGTTTTGCTTCAAAGGAAATCCACCACGTAAAACAAATCTAGATAATAGCAAGCAGTATTTATCTTAAAATGAAGGAGGCAGTATTCGGCCACTTAGCATTCTTTCATTTGAAGCATACCAGCAAAAACTTAAGTTTTGGGTATTGTTATTAAAGAGTTGATCAGAGTAATCTCTCATCATCAGAATAAGAAAATTCCAATTAAAAGTGAAGAAAATATGATACATTAGAACTTTCTTCAGAGCTGATCTCACACACAAAACTTTGAAATCAGTTAACTTTGACTTTTAAATAAATAACTTATCTTAATACTCAGATTGTGGTCTCAAAATTAGCATTTTCAATTTAAAAGGAACGAAGGCTCTCAAAAGCTCACTGAAGTTAGTTAAGGACAGGAAATAAAACAAGCCTGGACCTTTTCCTGTCACATCAGGACAAAAGTAGGGGCGAGCCAACTTGATTAAGTGCCCACTGCCAACACTAGCACAACTTGAGCACAATGAGTTCACACTGACACTCAAGAACAAACACAAACAAAAAGTAAACTCTGAAACACACACAGATACCCGTTGATGATGTAATAAATTCTTTATTTTTGATTCCTTGCCTTGTAAGTAGGGAGAACCAAGTATTAATCCTAGCCTCTCCTAGTTAATGTATCGCAGGGCAACAAATTTTTGATATGGAAATTTTTCTATTTTTTTCTTATATTAATCAGATTAAGAATCATACTATCATTTTATTAAATGAAGAATTAGAACATTATCATTTTTTTTAAACCCCTAATTAGTGGCTTTAAGCCAGTGCTTCTTGATCTCATCAATAGTAAGACTTTGGGCCAGGTTTAGGGTGAAGGGGTGGAAGAAAGGTATCTCATGCATTGTAGTAATGTTTAGTGGTATCCTTTTTCTCTACACCAGATAACAGTAACACCCTTCCAGTGTTAGATGTCTCCAGGCATTGAGAACTACAGGTTTAGAAAATCATTATCATTGTTGATAAAAATTTAAGTCAACTAGACATTGTACCTCCTGAGAAGGAAGGTATACCTGGATAAGTCTTGAACTAAATCGTTTCATACTAGTTTAAAATTTTTAACTAAGTTGGTTAAGTATTTGAAGAAATTTTTCATGAAACAAAAATTTAGTTATGCTTAAACTTGATTTACTTATTTTAATACATCATAATTAATGTCATTACTCAAAGTTTAGAACACAATCCTCCAAGCATAACTGGGAACTGGATGAAGGTATTGAAAGGTATAAGCTTCCAATTAACAAGCTTTGTGACTTTAATGTATAATATGATGACTATAGTTAAGAATACTGAATTGTCTATTTAAAAGCTGCCTAGAGAGATCTTAAAAGTTCTTATCACAAGGAAATAAATCTTTGAAACCAAGAGGTAAAAGATGTTAAATTAAGCTTACTGTGAAAATCATTTTTGCAACATACAAAAACCTCAAATATCATACTTTACATATCAATTACATCTCAATGAAAACTGGTAGAAGTGGGAAGACAAAGCCCAACTATCAAATGAAAAAAATCAATATTATAACCCGAGGTTTATTAAATCATGTATTATAAACAACTACCACCTAAAATGTGGATATAGAGAGTAAAGGAGGTGACTTGGTGGAGGAGGACAAAAACCAAAAGTCAAAATAAAAAAGTGAAGGAAATAACCCAATAAACATTTAACCTATGAGTTGACAGAAATTCAGGTTTCAATAGTCAAGGAATTGCAAGACACATTTTATGCTGTAAAAACAAAATCAGACCCTCCCTGGTGGCACAGCAGGTTAAAGCACAGCACTAAGAAACTTCAGCTGATTCCGCATGAGTTCGATCCCCGCCTGCCCCGGAGGAGGATCTACGTGGCTGGCAGACCTCTCTTGACCCACCCACTGCTCCCCTCAGCAGTGTACTTCGTCGATCTGCCTGTTCTGCTCCCTGCTCTGTCCCTGGTGAATTCTCTCACCCTCCGCATCTCTGGCCTGTACCCCAGTTATGTATGAATAAATAAATAAATCTTTAAGAAAAACAAACAAACAAACAAAAAAAACATTAACTTAAAGTAAACCAATCCAAAAGTTACCTATGGTATCTGAAAAATTATTCTTGTTTATTAAGATAAAATATTATCTCTTTATAGTATACCAACATAAAGAGGGGCTAATTCAAAACCACCGAACAGGCACAAAGTACAAGGTTTCACACGTAGACATGCCCTTTTTAAAGTAACTTCCCTACAGTCAAGAGTGCCTCACTTGCTCCTGAAATGACTAACGCTGCAACCAGAGCACCTTTAAGCTAATAAAATGTACATTTACAATGTTGGATTCTAGGAGAGTCTAGTTTAATAGCAAAAAACAACAGGTACAAAATATTAAAAATCAGATCATAACAATGAAAATATATTCATACCTATACAAGGCTTAACATGCTGAAAGCATGCTTTTGTTAGGTCACCTAACAGGGCAAAGGAACTCTGTCGAACTTCTGGCATTTTATCCTGTAAGAAATAACAAACAGTTAATCCCAAAGTGATAGGAAAACCAGGTTTCATTGCCTTTTAATTTAACAAGGCTCACCTGCATGCACTGATACATTAGTGTTAGAATGTTACTTCGGGCTACTAGCTGTTCAATGTTGCCTCCAAGTCCTTCAGCCAGGCCACTGAGTAAATCAAGGGCCACAATCATAAAATCTTTATCTGGAGCCTCGTATTGATCTGGTTGAGCATTATTCAGCTGAAATCAGACACAAAGCTTAAACAACTTACTTTGACTTAATTACCTAAAAAGTCTGTATGAACTGTGTGTATCCTTAGAAAATGATGTCAACAAGAGATTAATTTTTTAAAAATACCATGGTTTAGGCCCTCCCTGGTGGCGCAGCAGGTTAAAGCACAGCACAAAGAAGCTAAAGCCACTCCGCATGAGTTCGATCCCCGCCTGCCCTGGAGGAGAGCCACATGGTGTGGCAGACCTCTCCTGACCCGCCCGCTGCTCTCCTCAACAGGGTATTTCCTCAATCTGCTTGTTCTGTTCCCTACTGTGTCTCTGATGAATCCTCTCACCTTCGACATCTGGCCTGTACCCCAGTTCTGTACAAAAATAAATCTTAAAAACAAAACAAAACAAAACCATGGTTTGTTTGTGGGCCCTTCCTGGTGATGCAATGGGTTAAAGCACAGCACTATGAAGCTATGACAGCCACAGCAGCATGAGTTAAATCCCCACGCAGGGTGGTGACTTGCCCGCTGCTCCTCTTAGCAGTGTATTTCAGTAGTTTGGTTCCCCACTCTGTCTCTGGACTTTTCTCACGCCCATGTCCCTGTGGCCTGTACCCCAGTTCTGTATGCATAATTAAATAAAACTTAAAAAAAAAAATACCATGGCTTGTGCAAGAGTCTTCTGTACTAAATTGACACAACGTTGATACACAGGTTCACAGTATGGAAGGAAGCCAGACTGCAGGGCTGTGGCAACTGAAGATAGGCACTAGAAAGAATAAAGAATGTACATAAAATTCTGGAACTACTTAGGATTATAGGAAGGTGCTAGTAATTTATGAACCAGTGTTACATGTCTATATTAACAGGTTCATCTTCTTAAACTGGTCAGCCAGTTCAGGGGAGAATTTTCCTTAGTTTCTATAAGTACTACATGTTCCTATTTTTCTCTCTAAATACATTTATTTATCCTCCCATTCTGGTTATTGATATGAATGAACTTTAATGGGTACATTCTGTTTTACTTGGTCCAGAATTGGCCATTCCACTGGTCAAAGAAGTTTTTCACTTTCTTGGCTAAGGGCAATCCATGGCAAAGGGGTTGGGTGGCCCCTGAAATGATAGGGGGAATAAGAATGACAAGGACGGAACTGGCTCTAAACAATGCCAATTCATTGGTGCAAGTTATCTGTTAGTTGAGTGTCATATAAAAAGTTATTTTTGGTAAAAAAAAAAAAAATCTAGTACACATGGAAAAATGTTAAATAAGACATAAAAAGTAAGTTGATGAAGTCCCAAAACTTCACATATAGGTGAATGTTTGTGTGCACACACACAATATAAAATATACTGTATTGTGGTATTGCTATATAATCTGTACAAAGAAATGTGATTAAAAGGTATGCATGTTGATTAAAAAAATTTCATAATCAAGTAGAGCAAGTAGAAAACATGTCCACTCAAACGGTAGGACATGTCTATATTATACTTTCTCTATGTAACAATATTTCTTAATATAGATGTACCATAATTAAAGTACTAAGAAATTACATATTTATTCAACACTTCACTTAATCAGAACACACCCATTTTTTATTTGAACACTTGTTATCAATGAAGCACACAATTAGATTAACTACATGGTGAGCTTAGCTTACCTCAAGTAAGGGAAAGAGATCTTTATCTTCATCCTTTAACATGTTCCACTTCTGGATTAGTGGGGGCATTAACATCTGAATATATTCCTATTTACAAAGATGAAAAAACAGAACTCCATGATTATATGCAAAAAAGTCCATTCTGCGTATGTAAACGAAAATTCACTTAGGATAATTGTGTAACAGTTATTAATGAATACATTTTTAAGACTCATTTCCTGCTCTACTTAACATCTTAATCCCCCCCCCCTTTTATACTACTCTCTTGTTCTATTTTTCTTTTTTAAAGATTTATTTATACATATAGAACTGGGGTACAGGCCAGAGGCTAGGGGTGGCGAGAGACTTTACCAGAGACAGAGGGGGAAGCAGAACAAGCAGATGACGAAGTACACTGCTGAGGGGACCAGCGGTCGGGTCAGGAGAGGTCTGCCACGCCATGTGGTAACCTACGGGGCAGGTGGGAATCGAACTCATGTGGAAGTGGCTTTAGCTGCTCAGTGCTGTGCTTTAACCTGCTGCGCCACCAGAGAGGGCCACTCTATTGTTCTATTTTTAGTCATCTTATAACCTTTCTTAGGAGGTAAAGTATAAACCACTTACATAAAAATTACTTAACCATAAACAGGGATGATTTTTATAAGTTTTACTCTCTACTGACTGAAAGTTTTAGTCCAAGGCTCTGTGAAGGTAATATGGTTCTCTAGTACAGTTATGTTATGAATAGTTGGTTAATTTAGACATACACTAGTGTAAGATTCATAATTATGTGTCCTTAAATGGAAGAATTCATAAAAGTAAACACATTAATAATGTTTGAAGGGTCTCACTTAAGACATTCATAACTGCTCTCCCAAGACTCCCAAATCCGCAAAAATTAACTCATATTAAAGCAAACCCACAAACTTTGTGTTCTGCAATATCATTTAAGTTTTAACTTATAAACAATTTTTTTAAAAAAGAGATTTATTTATTCATGCATACAAGAACTGGGGTACAGGCCACAGGTGGGGGGAGGTGTGAGAGGGTTTGCTAGAGACAGAGTGGGGAGCTGAACAGGTAGATCTACTGAAATACACTGCTGAGGGGAGCAGCAGGTGGTTAAGGAGAGGTCTGCCATGCCATGTGGGTCACCTCTATCACTGGGTTGATTAAACTCATGCTGCAATGACTGTGGATAGCTTCATAGTGCTGTGTTTTAAAACCACTGTGCCACCAGGGAGGGCCCTATAAACAATTTCTCATAGCAATCATAAACAGGAATTCCATTCTTCAGCAAGGAATTTTGACTGCTATTAAAATTCTGGTATTATTTTAAAAACAAACTCAATTCCACTTTCCTCTTCAACTATGTGAACACTGCCAGACATAGTGCCACTTTATACCACTATTTAGTATATTTAGCCTATTATCCCAATTTGTAATTGTTAGTATATTTCTTTTTTTTTTTAAAGATTTATTTATTTGTACATACAGAACTGGGGTACAGGCCAGAGACTCAGGGGCAGTGAGAGACTCCACCAGAGACAGAGTGGGGAGCAGAACAGGCAGATCGAAGAAGCACACTGCTGAGGGGAGCAGCGGGCGGGCCAGGAGAGGTCTGCCACGCCATGTGGTCTCCTCCGGGGCAGGCGGGAATTGAACCACGCGGAAGTGGCTTCAGCTTCTCAGTGCAGTGCTTTAACCCGCTGCGCCACCAGGGAGGGCCTGTTAGTATATTTCTTAACTGGTGAGAAAACAAAGATGTCTAGATCTACCACTATTAAGTGGTAGATACAAGAAATACTCAGAATTAAGTAAAAAGTAGAAGTCCATAGTACAAAAACATATCACTTTAACAGCCATTCTATAAAATGTGGATTCATGTGGAATCTGCTGTAATTTCCATACCATGCACATAATAAAAAAAAATTAAAAGGTAAATACACTTGTCTTTGTAAGATCTGTATTTTTAATGTAGCAAACACTAAGTTATCACATTTCCCAAAATATTCTGATTTCCCAATATAGGTTAATACATTGGCTATAAATATCTCATCGTAGATACTTACTGGTTTGTTTAAATGATGTCCTACTGAATCTGCTAATGTTCCTATGGCATCATAAAGAATGAGCAGGTTCTTATGCTGGTATTTACTAAATGCGAAGACCAACGTATCAAGTATATAAGCAAGGTAAGGAACAAGTTCTGTACAAGCCTCCTCTTCTAGGGTAGCAAAGGCACTATAATTACAACAAAAAAATACTGTTGTACAAAACAGTTTATCACAAAAATAGGAAACTAAGTCTTAGTTTAAAGAACATCTATTTGTACTTTCATGCCTATTTCCTCTTATTTTTATTATTTCCCTCCAATTCATCATCACTTATTTTAAAGAGTCTCATCACTTACAGGCATCTGTTTAACTACAAAAGCAAAATCTGAAACAGAAATGTTACTAGTTCTTATATTTACTGATTTAACAAATGTATTTGGTGTTTAGTATGTATTTGCACTAAGTATGTATTAGTATGTATTTGCACTAAGAATATAGCAATGAACAATGTACCCATTCTCCAGAAGATTACTTTCTAGTGGTTGTCCTATATTAATGAAAGCAAAATTTACTGACTCCAATTTACACTTTGCCTCTTGGATGTATTACAAAGGCTACAAAACGAGAAGGATTTTTAATGCTTACTACAGAACACAACAGCATCATGTTTCTCAAGAGGTGGGAGAGGGCACAAAGAAGAGATGTAGACTAAAGGACACAAATTTTCAATTATACTAAGAATAGCTTCTGAGGATCTAATGGAAAGCATTGTGACTAGAATTGTTAATAGGATACTGTATATTTGAGAATTACTGGGAATAGATCAAATCCTAAGCATTCTCTCCACACAAAAGTCCAAGTTGTCTGTGAGGTGGTAGATGTGTTAATTTTTGTCTTTATCTCAGTACTTGTACAATTTATGTCTATCAAATCATCACCCTGTACATTTTAAACATATGCAATTGTATTTGTAAATGATTCCTCAATAGAGAGATTGAGAATGTTTTTCTAAACCGGACATGGAGCACATATGCTATCACAAACATTCCTTATGAAATAAGTTATTAGCAGAAATGTGTAAAAATGGAAGAAAACTTCAGGTTCAGGGAAGTTTATTTACACTTAAATTTCTCTTGATTCCAAAGTGTTAACCTAGTCCATTCTGTTCTACCCACTAAGGAATTTCCTAAAATGAGAGAGGCTAGTCATTTGTTAATAAAAGTCCTTTTCACTAGCATTATCTAGTCCTTTCAGAGCCTCTGTCATAAATTACATAGGTGCTTTGTATTCCCTAATATTCCAAATGGGCCTACTAAAGCCCCACATTTAGTTTATACCTAATAAAATTAGTGCTAAAAATAACCTTACCAGCTGAAAATCTACAGGAAATCAAATATATTCTATATTCTTCCCAGACTTTACGTAAGTTAGTACTATAGCATAGCCCCTATTCAACTTTCATCTCATTAAGAATTAGAATCTTCAATAGCTTTGCTTCAGATCAAGTACAACTCTATATTTTTCTACTTTAAAAAAAACTAATCATTCTTATTAACAAAGTCAACGATCAAAGCAATTCTACTTAAAAAATTAAGAACTATAAACTTAAGTAGCAGGATTTTTAAGAACATAAAGACTACAGACTATAGTAGTGAACTAAACGCTGGTCTGATACAAAACAGTTCTAAGCAGAGCAGTTAATAGAATAGCTTCACAAAGATTTTTTTGGAATTATGCATAATTGACTTGAAGACTAATGATGTGAATTTGTTTAAGAACAGAATCCTTGCCATTTACCACTCCTGATGTCTGTGGGACAGGATGACAGGCAATTTCTACTGTTATGATAGCCACTGACTGAGGAAAAAAAATGAGTTGAACAAACAGCAAAAGACTGACATCTAGTTAGCACACCTGGGTATACAAAATCAAATGAAAGCTAAAGATTACATCAAGTAAATACAAATAAAAACCCCACTGTTAAATTTAATGCTATTATTCCATCAGCATAGTTAGAAATCAGTTTCTCATAGAAATAAATACTCCTTTCTCTCACAATCAACATTCTGCTATTTGTCAAACCTGCAGGCAGCTTCTTGTACTCTCTTGTTGCTATCCAGGATACGCTTCAGCAATTCTGTCATTAATGGCTTCAGGTACGTGTCAGGGGGCTGGCTGACTACCCAGTGTGCATAGCGGCTAAGAGTCCAGCATGTTATGGAACGCACAAGAGCCTTTTTATCAGAGAGGCACTGAATAAGGTGAGGAATGAGCTCTGGCAGATATGGAATCATGCCCTGCATGCAACCTAGGAAAAAAACCAAGTCTTTCAGAAAGTGCTAAAATTCCGTCACAGCAAAATTATTCCAGTTGAAGACTAAACATTCAGATCACATCTATTGCAATATATTGTAATAATCTGTTCCAAACATAAAAATGAGTAGTTGAAATGGGAACAGGCTATTCCAAAGTTATCTGCAGGTTTGGAATTCACTTTAATTCTGCAACACAAATTCTGAATTTCTAAAATGCCTGTTAAAATGTTTCATTTTTGTAGCAGAAGATCTTTATGACCATTACAGACTAACCCTTTAAGGGGATACTATTATTCCAGATGTGTTTCTTACACTTATCTATGGAATTAAAAAAAAAAAAGATTTATTTATTCTTACAGAACTGGGGTACAGGCTAGAGGTGCAGGGGCAGTGAAAGGATTCACAAGAGACAGAGTGGGGGGGGGGCCAGAACAGGCAGACTGATGAAGTACACTACTGAGAGGAGCAGTGGGCAAGGCAGGAGGTCTGCCGTCCCATATGGATCACCTCCAGAGCTGGGGATCAAACTCGCACAGAAGCAGCTGTGGCTCGCATGCAGCGCTGTATTTTAATGTGCTGTGCCACCAGGAGGGCCCAAATGTTTTTTCTAAAAATGGGATGTTCCTGACATCAGTGTCCTCTCATTTGAATAATAAATGGCTGGGGTTAGAAAGCTATACCTTTTTTATTTTTTCTTAAAAACTTACTTTCAGGCCCTCCCTGGTGGTGCAGCGGGTTAAAGCACAGCACTGAGAATCTAAGGCCGCTTCGCATGAGTTTGATTCCCGCCTGCCCCGGAGGTGACCACGTGGTGTGGCAGACCTCTCCTGACCCGCCCACTGCTCCTTCAGCAGTGTACATCGTCGATCTGCCTGTTCTGTTCCCCACTCTCTCTGGTGAAGCCTCTCACCACCCCTAAGCCTCTGGCCTGTACCCCAGTTCTGTATGCACAAATCTTAAAAAAAAAAAAAAAAACAAAACAAACTTACTTTCATTTATATATAAAAGAAATAAGGTGTAGGTCAGAGTTGCAGGGGGTGAGAGGATTCACCAGAGACAGAGTAGGGAGCAGAACAAGCAGCCTGACTGAAATACAATGCTGAGGGGAACAGCATGTGAGACAGGAGAGGTTTGCTGCGCCATGTGGGTCAGCTCCCTGGCCAGGGATCAAACATATGCTGCAGTGGCTGGCAATAGCTTGACAGTGCTGAGACTTCAACCCCTGCACCACCAAGGAAACCTATACTCCTTTAATATAACAGTTAACTTGATTATCCTAAGATAAGTTTTGGATTCAATTATCCTTTTAAAGAATTAATGTGGATCTTTGTCTTGTTGATCCCCACATCACACCAAAAGAGAACAAAGAATTAGTCATGTGCGGTTTAGGAATGTTAGTCCCAAAAGTCTATACCATATAATCTAGGTAGGCAGTAGGATATACCGTATGGATTTGTGTAATTATGTTCTATGATGTTCACATGACAACAAAGTCACCTAAGGACACTTTTCCAGAAAGTATCTCCATTGTTAAACAATGCATTGAAGACCTCATGAGTAGTTTGTGTGTATATACTAAGAATTTCTTAAAGCAACCTCCCATATTAGCACCTATTAAGAACTTGATATCTCAAATTTGATTTACACTTACCTTCAGCAATTGCTCCTAAAACCAAGATGCCTGATTCTTTAACAACCCATTCATGATGAAAAAGCAATTCTTTCAAAAGGGGCAAAATATGTGGTAAAAGCTCATCACGATACACATTTGCAAGAACATCGAGGGCAGCAGCAGAACATTTTCCTAAGAAAGTATTTAACACAAAATTATATTAATCTTCATTATCATTATATGATAATGAAATTATATTATTATATATGAAATTAGATCGTGCCCTTTTGGACTGTAAGACCAGTAATTACCAGAAGTGAAGGGGGAAAAAATTGTAGTGTAAATTAGGGAAAGAGGGTCACTGTATAGTGAATGATAGACCTAGACCTGAAACTATGTTAGTTCCACTACAATAAGAGGTCAATTAAATAGGATCACAGGGAAAAAAAAAATCTATTAATAACACTTCATAACCAAGAATGAGTAAATAAACTAATTATAATCTAGACTTCTACACTAGAATTGTCTATGAAGAAAAACTTAAAGCAAATACTTTCCCACTCTACAGGTTCTAGGTATGTATACCTCAGCAAATTATGTACATTATTTATATTTAAAATTCCCACTGGTTGATGATTCAGAATCAAGTATGTAATGACTTAGCTTGTGGTAGGACAAAAGACCACAACAAAGTCACCAGTGCATGAAACATAAAATACAGTGGGGCAAAACATTTGTAAAGAAAAACATTCTTTATAAAGGAATTTTAAAAAACCATGTGACTATTAAATCAAGTTTCATTTAATGTAGTAATTTAGAAAATAAAAAATCAAGTAAAAATTTCCTAGTGTGAGGAAGTACACCAAACATGGTAGCCATGGTACTGAATGATAGATCAACACAAGAGAGTATTGTACTGTTACTGAATGAAATACACACACTGATATAGAATGAGTTATATGATATATAGAAAAAACCAAGGGCGCGATCTAACTTCATTTTTGGAAATTCATCCCCTCTTCAAAAAAGAAGACATACACTTGACTTGCTTTTTATGTGCTCAGAAAAATTGCTGGGAGAAAAGTAGGTAGGATATAAAGAAATAGTTTCCCCTCAATTTAGCATACAGGCTACGTGGGTGTCCCCTTCCTCACCACTCCATGTGTCTCCCAAAGCTGCATACTCGGTTGAGGACTGCCTTCCCCAATAGAGACGGACTGGTCTTTGGTTGACTATATGAGTAGCTGCGCTCCCCTGGTAGTCCCCCCAACAAGCTCTCAATTTAGTGTATATTATTACTTTTTTTGAATTATCTATATTAGATTTTCAATCCGTCCTGCCCCATTCTGAAGTTGGGGACACAGTGAGAAGAAATTTGTGATTGTAGTAAAAACATGGAATCTCATATGAGATTTAGATTCCAATAATAGTGTGCCATCAGTATCTTGGGAAAGTTAAATTTTTTAAGTTTCCTTACCATGCTAATAAGGCTGTTCAAGAAAAAGTCTTTGGCCTACTCAAAGTAACTTGTAGAAAATAAATGGGCAACTAAGGAATTAGCATTGTTTAACCCACTGAGTTAGAGTGCAGGAAGAAAATTCGGGTATCTTTAACCACCTACTTCATTTGTTATTAGAAACCCAACACTGAACCACACCAATGGTTCTCAGTTCAGGGTATTTTGTTCCCTAGGAGGTAACTGGCAACATTTACAGACACTGTTGGTTCTGTATGTGCCTATTTGGGTGTTATTGGCCACTTACTGGGTCAAAGGTAAGGGGTACTGCTTAACAGCCTACAACGGACCCAACAGTTCCTATAACAAAGAACTGTGGGACCCAAAAAGGCAACAATGTTGGACCCAGGAACCCTGAATCAAAAGCAGTGGGACATAAAAGATCAGTAAGCAAGCACAAACAAAATAACCAGTATCTAGCTAGCTTCCCCCCTTTGATTTATGAGTGTGGCTCAGAAAGCTGCTCTGGAGATAGGGGTTTTTAGTTAAGGTTGGAAAAAAAAAAATCTGTATTTAATAAAAGGTTTATTTCGTGAGCCTGAATATGAATATTCTAAAATATCTTATGTTAGAATCATATGTGATAATCAGTCAATTCTCATGCATATTATCACAAAAAATATTATGGTAACAGGAAAAGCTTGTGGCCAGTGTTCTTAATAATATACCAAAGAAAATAGTTTCTTTTTTTTTTAAGATGCTTTTTCTTTTCTTTTTTTTCTTACAGTGTTTGCTTTCTTTTCTCAGGTGTTGTGCCCATAGAGTCAAACTACCATGTTTCCTTTTAAGGAACACAAGGAAGATCAAATATAAGGACAGATCTGTCTGAAAAATGCAAACCAAAACCCACAGTAAGATACCACTTCAATTTCACTACTATGTCTATAATGGAGAGGTAGCTAGTGGTGACAAGCATGTGGAGAAACTGGAGCCCTAAGACTTCACTGGTGCAAAGATAAATAGTAAAGCCACTTATGGGAAAAAGGGTGCTAGTTTTTCAAAGGTTAAACAGAGATTTTCATTTGACCCAGTGATTTCATTCTTGATTATATATATCCAAGAGATGTGAAGACATTAAGTCCACTCATAAACTTAAATGTTTATATCATCATTATTTACAATAACCAAAGGGAGAAATACCAAAGTATACATCAAGTGATGGACAAAAAAAAAAAAAAAAAGACAAATAATCTGCTATTCTGCAACAAAGGAATAAAATGCCAATGTACACCTCAACATGGATGAATCCTGAAAATATACTAAGTGAAAGAAGTCATAGCATTTCATTTCTGAGAAACGTGCAAAACAGATATTCTTAACAGAATACAGATTAATAACTGGAAGAGGATTAGCAGAAAATGGGAGTGACTAATGGATTATTTCTTTTGGCGGTGCTGAAAATTGTTTTAAAATTTACCATGCTGATAATTGTAGAACTCTGTGAATATACTAAAAACCAATGAACTGTTTATTTTAATGGGTGATTTATATGGCATCTCAATAATACTGTTAAGAAAGCAAGCAACTGTGCTTTCCCCTCTCTGAACTTACTTAGATTCCAGTCAGAAATCGTATCATCATCATCAATTTCATCATCATCATCATCTTCCTCTTCAATTCCATCTTCATCATGCTGCTGAGCCACAGTCCTTGAGCGATGAAAACGTGGTCTTATATCCTGTTCACTATCAGGAATTGTTTCATCCTCTTCAACATCACCCTAAGTAATTTTTTTTTTTTTAGAAAGGAGAAATTTTGGTGACATTCATTCTAAATTAGTAACATATACATGTGTAACAACCAGAACTGCCAGAGATGGGGGTCATGCACAGGAGTTTGAAGTGTACCTCACCTCTCCACTAAGAACCACTCCTGGTATAGAAAATAGTCTGTTCTACCCTTCCCAAGGAACTATCATATAACATGTTAGGTACCTAGGCATTTCAGCAGAATTACACTGTCTCCCATTAGCTGCTATAATCTAGAGTACTGAATCACATTCATGTCCTATTTAAAATAAATTTTAAGTAACTTAAACTCTACCAGATATTAATGCTAACTCATGTCACTGTCTAGTTCTAACTAAGCTAGAATCTATCATCACAAATTCATTGTTTAAATCTTTATACTCTATAACATACATAACAGGAAGCCTATTTACTTAGAACTTAACTTGAATAAATAGTCTATCAATCAAATTCAGAGATTTCTTAAGTCGATGTAAAACTATAATCCTCTTATCAGAAAAGTTTCCTTACCTTAAGTAGGATAATATCTATATCTGAGTACTTCATGCCATTCACCAACACAGGAATCAACCTAAAAGAGTGAAATCATGAAACAAAGATCTGAATATCTCGAGAACAATTAAAAAAGTTTTAACCTTACATTTATCAATACCAATGAGACAACACTGACAAAGCATACTCAATGACATCAGCCCATCTCAAATGATGAGTATCCTTAATGGACATCTTAGGTCTGTGCAAGGGATTCACTGGATAGAGGGAAAGGTAGCTTCCCAATAGTGTTTTAAAAAAAAAAAAAAAAAAAAAAAAAAAAACCAGCTATTTCTCCCCCAAGAATTTATTATATATATATATATATATATATATACTAACAAACAATTTATTATATATATACTAACAAACATTTTAAAGGACCAATGTTATCTGATGCATTAACAAAAACACTGTAAACAATCTAAATGTCCACCATTTAGGGATTAGTTAAAAATAAAGCTAAAAAATTCAAGTGCAAACTATACCCATTCTCACTTGAATATAGTCTACTTAGGAAGGATATACAAAAAAGGGATATCTTTGGATCTCATTTTTATTTTATTTGTAAAAGGTGTTAACATTTTTATAAAGATCCTATATTCATTGTTTTCCTTTTAATGAAAGAAATGACAGTTTGAAACATAAAAACTGAATACATCTAGTGACTAAAGAAATTTATCCAAAAAGGGAATAAGAGCTCTTTGAACAAAGTTATCATAGCTTTTGATTAAGCTTGGAAATTTTAATTTAAGATTATGAATTTTAATTAAATTTAAATCTTTAAATAATACTCAAGTAAGAATAGTTTAGTAAAACATGACATCATATCCAATCTTAAGTATTATGCAGTCATTAAATTAGAACCATCGAATTCCAGATATACCAAAATAATTATGCTTAGTTAAAAAAAAAAGTGTCAAAACTTCAGTTCCTCATAGCAATGGCTATTTTAAGCTTTGTCGGTTATCTTAAGCTTTGAATTTTTTTTTTCTCACTAGCTGATCACACCAACTCTTAAAGAGTCCAATGAGGCAAAAAGTATGAGAACATTTAACAAAGTTCACAGTGCCCTCTTTTCAAATTCTACTTTATAATTGTTCTGGGTAACTTGGGAAAATTAAAAATGTGAAAAATAGGCAAAAACTCTTAAGTTCTAGTTGTGGCCTTATTAATGAACACTTCCCTTAAAACTTAGTAATAAAGGCATTAGGATCATCATTTTCTGTATGGCTCAGAGAGATTACATTACTCCCACAAGGTCCTAAGTTTTATGGGAAAGTGAGGGGTCAGTTTGACCTGACTACAAAAATAATTTTTCCCTATTTGGAAGAACTCTCACTGTTTACATTAGCATCTTCAGTCTTTGTTGAGGATATGCTTCAAATGGTAATACACTTTACATCAAATAAATAAACCTATCTAAAGCCAACTTTTGAGTATATCTCTACTGCCAAGGAGATAATTTTTTAACTCCTCATTAACTAAAGCAATACTAATAGTCCAAAGTTGCTGCGTAGTTACAATTATGGGCCAGCCAACCTGTAACATTCAAAGTCCTTTCAAATTCTAAAATAAGATGAATAGCATTTTAATGTAACTAGTATACTAAACTAGATAAATCATAATACACAGAACCACATTTTCTATACTGATATTGAATACAGAACCAAAAGTTAAAATCAATTATCACTGTCAACAATTTCAGGGAAATGGGGAGGACAGATGGCAGACTGTCAAGTACTGCAGAATTAACATGCTGTGAGGTAAAGAAGTGAGGACAGTGACTTGCATGTATCCTTTGAATCTTTTTAAGATAAAAGAACTATAGCAAATTAGAAGATTATGGAGGAGTCAAGAGAGAGAAAAGAGTATTCAAATCTAATAGAATGAGGTCCCTAAGAATAAAGGTGGGAAAACTTACTTTTCCCACCTTAATTCTTGCACATCAGTACTTTCTTAGAGGGTATGGGGGAAGTTATGGATTGACCAATGTATAATTCTTAACCCAATGTCCACCACATATTTAACTAGTCAGTAAATATGCATTGTTGTTATTGCCTTTCTGTGATACTGCACTAAAAGCTGGCTTCTTATCTTGAATGGCCACATGTGGCTGCAGGCAACTGCTTAACAATGAAAGCTATTCAAATAAAAGGTCTGCCTTGTAAAATTGCCACATGGTTATAAATTAATGCCCCCATTTTACTTTAGACCTCATTTTCTCAGTTGCCTGGCTTTTACTAGGTCCTTATTCTTGCACACCATCTCTTCATTCTTTATCTGCACAGACATCATCAACTGTTTGTCCATAAATCTTCCTTGCTCTGGATTAGATGAACTTTCTCCTAAATAAATTCTGTTAGGAAATGTTACATTGCCAGGAAGATTGAGTCTAGAAAGTAATGGTCTTCAACATTGTCAACTCTTTACACTATCTGCTAATTTTTCTTGTTTTGGTCCATTTTTTAATCTTTCATTCACCAGAATATGTCAAAATGTTTTCACTTTTCTGATTTCACTCATTTTGGGCATTTCTGCTTTTTGGGAAAACAGGTGACCATTCTGCCCCAACACGTATAGATAGTAGTTTCATGAGCATTGCCCATATCCTACCAGTCTTTCTACTTGTGATTTTAAATAGTAGAACATATACTAATGTTATAGCTTAAGCTTTCATTTTAGTTTCTTAAAGGAATTAAATGTCTATATGACTTGAGTCCATCATAAAACCAGCAGTACAAACTAGAGACTAATATGAATTTCCTTTAAAAAATACCTTACACAATACCTTGTCTTTTACTCCCAAATAAATCCTATAATTTATTTGTAGACAACATAGGTGAGACTGTTACTTTCTGGATGAGGAATGAAATAATGGAAGAGAAAAAGAAACTGACTACAAAAATGAGAACATCCAGGTGTTGTAAAAACATGTGGGGGAATGGGCCCTCCCTGTTGGCCCAGCGGGTTAAAGCACAGCACTGAGAAGCTTAAGCCACTTCCGCATGAATTCGATTTCCGCCTGCCCCAGAGGAGATCCACATGGCGTGGCAGACCTCTCCTGACCCGCCCGCTGCTCCCCTCAGCAGTGTACTTCCTCGATCTGCCTGTTCTGCTCCCCTCTGTCTCTGGCCTGTACCCCAGCTCTGTATGAATAAATAAATCTTAAAACAAAAACAAACAAAAAAATGTGTGGGGGAAAAAACCACGATGTCACCAATATACAGCACATTCAAATAAGAGCTTTTGTTTTTTGTTTATCCAGATGGTTAAGATTAGAGATACTAAAAACAATGGCTGTTGAAACTGAAAGAGAATTAAACACTATTGACAAGGTATAAATTAGTACATCTTCACAAGAGAACAATCTTTTATGAAGAACCTTCAAAATACAGTAACAGTGGACAAAGACATACATTCCAGGATGATTAAATTAAAAAAATAAAAAAGGACAAATGACTGAAATATTCAACAACAAAAGAATATTTGGTATGCCCTTCATGGTGAAGTAGTAGTCAGTAATTAACAATATTAAAGACTGATGACATGAAGGAAAGCTCACAACATACCGTAATTGAAAAATGCAAACCACAGAATAGTATAATCCAAATGTTAAACACTAAAGCCATACTACCAAATGTAACTTTCCCCAAACATCATGAGTATCTTTTTTTTTTTTTAAAGATTTATTTATTTGTGCATACAGAACTGGGGTACAGGCCAGAGGCTCAGGGGCGGCGAGAGGCTTCACCAGAGACAGAGGGGGGAGCAGAACAGGCAGATCTATGAAGTACACTGCTGAGGGGAGTAGCGGGCGGGTCAGGAGATGTCTGCGACGCCATGTGGTCACCTCCGGGGCAGGCGGAAATTGAACTCATGCGGAAGCGGCTTTAGATTCTCAGTGCTGTGCTTTAACCCGCTGCCCCACCAAGGAGGGCCCCATCCTGAGTATCTTTTTAAGGTTAAAAACAAAACCAAAAAACAAAAGCCACCCACTAAACCAACACATCAGAAATTCAGAAATACTAACAGATTACTCAGGTTATCAAAAAATCCAGATTCAGTGACAGATGAATGGATTAAGAAGATGTAGAGTAGAGGCCTCCCTGGTGGTGAAAGGAGTCAAGCCTCAGCATTATCAAGCAATCTGCAGCCACTGCAGCATGAGTTCAATCCAAGCTACAGAGGTGACCCACAGGTGTAGCAGACCTCCCTGTCTCACTTGCTGCTCCCCTCAGCATGTAGTTCAGTCAATTTGCCTGTCTGCTCCCCACTCTGTTTCTGGTGAATTCTCTCACCCCCCGCCCTCCACCTTTGGTCTGCACCCCTGTTCATGCGTGTGATAAATAAAACTAAATCTTTCAAAAAAAAGAGAAAGAAAAACGAGATGGAGTATATATGCAAAATGTACTATGGACTATTATTCAGCTATAATAAAGATGAAAAAACCTTTTTATTTGACAATATGGATAGAACCAGAAGAGATTATGCTAAGCAAAATAATCAGAATACGAAGGACAAACACCAGATGTTTTTACTCACACAGGGAACATAAAGAAACAAAAGGAACTGACAAAACCAAGCCCAAACAAACCGTGAAATCTCCTTGTAGAACTGAGGCTGCTAGAGGTAGAGTGGGGACCCAATAAACAAGTGGTGGAAGGATTATGAGCACTTTGGTGATGGGGTGAGCCTATACCACTATATCATAGTGTTGTAAACCCAATGTTCCATCAATAAAATGAACAATTAAAAACATTTTCGGTATTTTAATTTTCTTCCACAAACCTGCATTTCTTTATTTTCAAAAGCAATACACATACATCATTACGTTGTGCAATTTAAACTGAATATAATTTTAGCCACTTGCGTCAATAAGACTTTAAAAAGTAACCAATTTTATAGCATTTATTGACTTAAAAATAGGTTTAGTCAGCATAGGTAACCAAAACTGTGACAGCATCACAATTGAAAGCTATCATTCCAGAGACTCTGTGGTCAATTTTAAGGAGTACAGAAACAAGAACATGACTGTGAAATATCAAAAAATTAGTGATAATTTAGAATAAACCAGCCTCAACTGTTTGAAAAAACAGAAAAGTGGTTGCTTCTTGCAAAGTCTCTTACCTCAACAGTAAAATTAAATCTGATGTCTTTGGAAACTGACTTCCTGATGGAAGAAGCATGTACTCTACAAATCTTTAAAAGAAGAATCACTATTAAAGAACAAAGTAGCATTAATAAGAAGGTACACTTACTTAGGAAGATGTCTTACAAGTACGTCTTTGCATATTGGTTGTTCAGCCAAAGTGAGCCAAAACTCACAGGCTTCTAATGCCACATTTTCATCTTGATCTTGGGTCCTCTGTAGCATGTACTGTAAACGAAGGGGACTTACTATTAATCAGCTTAAGTCATTCAATTTTAATAAACTCAGTCCTATTTCAGCAAGTTAATGATACTTTGCTATGGCCTTATAGTTTACATGGTTCTCAACCAAGTCTTCAAGTTTTTAAAAAATAATTTCCCAGTAAATTTTGAAATGATGCCAAATTTAAGTACTGCTTCAGAATGAAGTCTAATGAAGTGTTCAATGCACTTCCACATAAGTGTAGTTTACCTATACAATTTAGAGTTTAAAAATGTAATAAATACTAAGCCTTCTTTGCAACATCAAAAGAACGCCATTATACCTAAAAAAACAAAAACAAAAACAAAAACCCTTTATATGAATGCTTAAGTTCTCTTTTAAGGTATACTGCTTTCACATATTTACAACACTTAGTGCCAACTATAATATAGTTCACTTTTAACTGGAGATGTTCACTCTTAATTGGAGGAGCACCAAACTCCCAAATCTACCCATAGGCAGTGTCTCTCTCTAAAAACAACAAAACCCGCATGCAAAAATAAATACAGTCAAAATCACACATACGATTTCCCAAAGTACCTGTGATTACAATTAGAGCCAAGTGGGGAATTCTTAGTACGCATCATCTAATTCAAGCATCTCACATGACAAGATCAATCAGTAATACATGCTGCATCATGTCCTATGACTATAATGAATACTATTGAGAAACTAACATTACAAATTAGGCCCCTCACCTGTGACATGGCACCAGCAACTGATAAAATGCTTAATTCCAATTAACTTCAAGCTCTCTCTGTATTTTCAACTAACTCCACCAAATTCTTCTAAATACTTCCCATGAAGAGACTCAGAGAAAATGACATTTATTGTCATCTTATGATGCTATGCACCCTTATTTCTACAACTATTTTTTCTCAAGTATGAGGAAAAAAATTGTTATAGATACTAGCTACCTTCTAGGTCTTAGACCCTATCTACTAAAAAAGATCCTTCTTTGCACATTGTATGATAATGTGGACATGAAGAGAGGTTCTACATAACATACTACTTAATACACATGTACAACTGTACATTACTCACGTATGTACTACAATCACTACGATGAACATTAAGTGGTGCAGTACTAATCACTGCTTAGAGTATTTTGTTCTAATAATCATACATGTTATTATCTAGTTTTTTCTTTAAATATGGCTAAATTGTGATCAATACATTCAGAATTTCCTAGTAAAATTCCTTAATCATGTAGGAATTGAAAGTGCTTTTGAAAATCTAAATGGTTTGCCAACTATAATGGTTATGTATTTTTTACTCAGAAATCTCATTACCACTAGATAAAATGTAAGATTAATGGATGAAAATAACACAACTTCAATCGCAAACTGCAATGACACAAGAAAATGCCATTTAATCTAACATTTTATTGATCATTTAGCCTAACCCATACCTAAAAAATCTATGTATTTCTTGGTTATCCTGGTTAAAAGTTACTGCTCTTTTAAATAACCTTTTCCTCTAGTACTGTAGTTTTCACAAAAGAAAAATCACCTTGAAAAAATTATTTTAAGACCATCATAATGAATTTTTTATATAGCTGTCCCAACAACTGTGTTCAAGAAATTGGAAAAGTGGTTTCACATTATAAAACATGCTGAGTCCAAGATTTCTTCTGGGGAGGGGAAAGAGCCTTTAAATTGCCCATGTTGGGCCCTCCCTGGTGGCGCAGCAGGTTAAAGTATAGCACTAAGAAGCTAAAGCCACTTC